GCTGTAAACAATTAATTTTTCATCGCAGGAAAATTAGAAATTGGTTGCTTTTATTACGAAAAATCGAAACTGAAAATGCAGTCCATTTATTTTTCCGATGCGATTCACATAGCGTATTCATTAATTTTCAAGTTGCTGTGGTTGTTAGCAAAAAGATTGACTCAAAATGCAAATTATGAAATATAAAATTATGAAAATTAAACAAGTACAAAAATTTAAATATCTGGGAAGTGTTCTAACAGAGAACGGAAAGTGCGACACTGAAATCCGAAAACTCATTGGGATGGGCAAAGATGCATTCCAAAAGCTATGTAGATTATTTGGAGACAGAAAATTTTCGTTAGAAATAAAGAAAAGAGTACTAAGCTGTTACGTGATAGATGTATGGCATTGGATGCTGGACAATCTCCTAAATGATGAAGGAGTGACTTAAACCAGCATAAATTTGATTCTACAGAAGGATGATAAGGATAACATGGATCGAACATGTGAGCAACGACGAGATTTTGGAGAAAATGGGAAAAAAAAGAAACATAGTTAGCAACAGGAAGAGACAGTTGAAATTTCTTGGTTACATAATGAGAAAGGAGGGCTTGGAAAATGTTATACTCACAGGACACATTGATAGAGAGAGGAAAACAACGCATAACTTACTTGATAAGCTTGAGTAAATGGATGGCAGAACAGAGTTTAGGAGGAATAACGAAAAGACAAAATTTATTAAGAGCTACAAAGGACAGTAAATTGTAGAGAGCCATGATGGCCTACGCCTTGAGGGACACTGTACATAAAGAAGAAGAATATGGAGTATCTCTGCGATGTTCTGTGTGGCTTAACCTAGATTATTCTTAACATTTAAATTTATTAACAACAAGTGAAGACATACTAGAACGCTCCCTGCCTGGAAAATGGAGAACGTCTTTGGAGGCGTGGACCAAGTGAACCACATACGGACAGTATTTTCATTCTATGGAAACATCACTATAAACGGCTCATATCTTTTTTTCCCTGTTTGCGCAGCTATTATTCCTTTTCAGAAAAAATATATTAAATAACGAAATGATTTTAAATTCATCCATTTTCACTCTTAGCATAAAAACATTTCATTTACAACCAACTTACGAATCATATAGAAAGACACGTGGCGTAATCTCACTAAATCATTTCCAACTAAGTAGGGCGTTCGATCTTCAATGTGTGCTCCACACATTTGGCTTTGTACCACATCTAAGCTACGCTTAGAAAATGTTCTAGTTACATTCCATCAGCGCCGATCAGAACCGAACTACCGTCAGTCACGATGAACGGATGTTCCCTGGAGGAGGCACCGTCCCTTGAAAGAACATTGGGCCTAAAACACACACTCGACCTCAATTGCAACTCTTACATACGACCCATCGTTAAACATACAATTAAAATGATCGGCTCCCTGTACCACTCCAGTAAGTATCTGACTCCTCATGATATCCTCTACTTTTATAAGAGCCACATCAGGCTAAAAACAGAGTACTGATGCCACATTTGGGCGGGAACAACCCAGTCCTCACTTTTCCAGTCTTGATAGCGTTTAAAAGCGTCTCGGTGTCCTTGTTGGTGAGGAATTGTTCCACCCTCCAACCTCACTTTTACAGGCGAGAGATGTGGCTAGTCCATCGCTACTATCATGGAAAATGCTCGGACGAACTACATTCCTTGGTCCTGTCAGGTCTAACCTTCACGGCTAGGGCCCGCCATGCCACTAAAATGGTAGCAAACCACACACATTCCATCCGTATTCCATCGTAGAGAAATAAGAACAGCTTCTTCCCACGAACCACTGATCTGTGAAAAAGAGTCCTGAGAGGATGTTTCCCCGATCACTACAATCTTAACCTTTTCAAGTCTAGTTATCTTCCCTTCCTATCCTTATAAACTACTCCTTAACGTAACCCTTTAGCTCGAGTTGTCCCTGAGCCATGTACAAGGCGAACCTTACTTTAAAAAATCACCATATAGGAAGAGGCGCAGAAAAAAAGTTCCAATCACGTTTGAAATGAAAACACATGTTTAAACACTACCTACTGAAAAACAGTACGAACTTTTCTTTTTCCGATTTAATAAAGCAGGTATTACGTCCTGAGCGGTGTAGTCCGTTTGACTTGAAACATCCTAGTAGACTTGATTTATTTCAATCACTACGCATGTAACATTGTGTACTGTTTGGTCAAAACGCAATCATCATCGCCATCCATTTATGAGTCTTCTTTTCTTTCTGGAAACAGTCGCTACATTCTTTGATTATGTCGTTAACTGCCTTATCTTTATCTTCACACATTTCCTTATTTCCTCTGTTTTGATCTAAATATATTTGCTTCTTAAGAGCGATTCATTTTCTCTGTCGAGGTTTCCCCTACGTAGCCATATCCATAGCAACGCAATCCTCGACATTGACTAATCCTCAGCGCCGGTCCAAGGGTCTCATGGCCCATCTCTGAATCTATTATTGGGCCACCAACTCTACTCTATCTCAATTTTCATAAAGTAGTATTCATACAAAATACAAATTTTATTGTAACCTAATTATGTATAATAATGGATCTTAAATGTTTTGCGGCAATTCTTAACCTCAACATGAGATTTTCTTGTTAAAATGTTAACTTTAAATAATAATTTTAACGCATTCAACATTATATATAAGAAATAGTGAATTTTATATAATGTTTTTTCGAGAATTAGCATGAGCAAAACAATTTCCCAGATTTGGGCAAAAAAGACTCCCAGAATGACGTCAGATTCTCAAAATTATTTCATCCTTTAAAAGTCAGTTTAATAGACAGTTGGGCTTAGTTTAATTTGTAACGTATATAAATGTAGGTAGAAAAGCAAATGTTGATAAGATAGCGAGACTCACAAAACACTGCTCGGGACCACAATCAGCCTTGCGCCATTCTGATCAGGGTCTCTGGTGGTAGTACGCACCGGCCCTGCGAATCTTGTCCCATCTCTTAACATACTGAAATTTTATATATCATTATTAACCAGGAAATATTTATTCCCTAATATCTCAAAATGCGAAGTCATGAGAAATGATGGATAACGTAATGAGTCGAGTTCAAATTTCTCCCAAGTCAGTTGCATTTATTTCACAATAATAATACTAGAATGAATCATAACGCCTAATTCAAAATCTGTTTGTTTGAAGATTAGCAACTGCACTCCGTAAAACTTAGTTTTTTTTTTTAATCAGTTCACCCCAAGTAAGACAATAATAAACAAGGTGTTTTTACTGAGTGCCAGAGAATATGAGATAAAAAAAAACACTATTAAGGAGAAAGAATAATAAAAGAACATGAATTAAGAAGATAGAAGATAACGATTAACAGTAGATTTAATTTTTGAAAATCAAAGTTGAGTGCGAAGCAAGAAGCTGGAAGTGAGTTCCATAAGCAAGAAGAACGAGAGAGAAAAGAAACTGTTAGCAGAGAACTTATCATTAACCAATTCAACTGTAAAATTATGAGACCTTGTCGCCAATCTAGTACAGGGTGCGATGGGTAAAATGTTGCCAATTAATTTTTTGTTTTAATTTCGCGCATGAACCTTCTTTTTTATTTTTATTTTGTCTGTTGCTGAGTATAGTAGGATCAGTTGGGCACCTTCTGTGAGAAAAAATATTACCATGATACAATACACTCCACAAGAAATTTGGAAACGGCATGATGTACTGTTTGGCATTTGTGCCGGACTCTAGCATACGAACATTTCGGTGTGTTTGGGTGTTAATCTGAGGACAGGGCAGATGATTCGGAAAGAGTTGAATGAGTCTAATGGTGATTACGAAGATGGTTGGAGGGACCACTAGTGATGGCGACGACGTTATTACTCCATTCATCTTCCCACATGGTCCCAGACTCAACACGGAGGTCTATATCAAGTACCTTGAGGAGGTCGTGCTGCCCTAGGTTAAGAGGGTGGCTGCTGGAAGAACATATGTCTGTCAACAGGACTCTGCACCATACTACACGGGCAGGGGTACCCACTCTCCACTAACCATGGTTGTCAAACAATTTCTGCGACTACATCAGCCCTTACATCTGGCCACCTAGCTCCCCAGACTGTAACCCTCTTGATTATTATGTGTGAGACCAACAAAACTCCTAACAGCAGAGATGAACTGAAGATAAAGATTATGGAAGCATTCACCAACTTATAAAAGGAAACCGTTCAGAAGAAATGCAGCAGGTTTCGAAGTCTTCTAGAGGCCTTGATTGAAGCTAATGGTGATTATATTGAATAAATTTACTCTTTAGTATTTCAAGATATTTTTGTGTAATTTTGGTAAATATATCTGTTAAAATAAGATGTCAGTGTTATTTTCATTTTTGCGTTATTTAGACGACAATTTATTCATCGCACCCTGTAGGGTGCTTATATTCTTAAAGTCTAGCTAACAAAGAGGAAAGTAATATTTTTTTTTTAATACAAAAATGTGTCACAATGCCAAAAGGGAAGATAGAGAAAGGCAGGTCTTCAATCTATCTTGTCTTAAACTTAGCTAGCCACAATTACTGACCCGAACATACCACAGTATTCCTTACACTAAAACAACACATTCTTACTTACCATTCTTACTACAGCCACCATAATACCTCAGAGTCTCTATGTAGTCCTAACTAGTCCCCATATATATGATTTTACCATAAAAGAAATTTCATCAGAACAATTACCATGAACTTATTTATAGAAAAGACACAAGGCAGCTACGTTACAGCGTGAGAAAATGACTGAAGCTGAGATGTCTGGTCAGGAATAATAACATAACAGATTCTTCTTTGAATTTTATCAAGGATCTCTAAATACATAGCAGTAACACCAGACCAGATGTGACCATGATATTCAAATGGGCAAATGGTTGACTTATAAATGTGTAAGAGATGTACTGGAGATAAAAAAAAAAAAAAACTCTAGCACGACACAGTGAAACAAATTTACTAGCAGCTGACCTAGCAGTTGAAGGCTTCTGACCATATCCCGTTGAAACACCTGTCCCCGTACAATCACCGATGTTAAGCAACGTTGAGCCTTGTCAGTACCTAGACGGGTGACCGCTTGTGAATCCCACGTGCTGTATGTGCGGGTGGTGCAATGGATAATGGCTATATTCACCTACACGCAAATACCCTTGGGAAAGATATCAATCCACCTCTTCTTCCCCTCATCTATAGAGTTAATTAATAGATAATGAAATTAATAAATTAATAATAATCAAATACGCAGTAATATGTGCTTATGAAGCCTCCTAATAAAACGGACACGATCCTAGGTTGATGGTTGCTTGAATAGTTTTATGGAGAATTTTTTTTTCTGTAAGCAAATCAGTTCCTCTGCTCATTAATATTGCACTTGCAAAATCTGCCTCCTTTACGATGTATATATAACAAGTACACACACACACAACTGTCGTTGATAGATGATTTACACGTATTGACTGGTTGCACAACCCTCAATCAAATATAACACGCCAACAAAAAGAGGAGAAAAAAAAATTAAAAGTGATAATATACGAACAAAAGAAAACATATACAGAAATTAAAAAAAAAACTAGCTGTTTTTTTGGCACGTCCAAACACACATGAACAGTCATAATAAATTGAAAAGGTTTAATTAGAAAAATCCGCTAAAATAACAATTTAACTCGCGCTAATTCTGTTCCCAGCTGCAGTCACTGCACAGAAATTTATGTCACAATGAAGCTCAAAGCAAATATAATCTGGGCTTTTCGATGTCGGATGCCAATCAAGACTAAAAGTAGTCGTCTCAGACTTAAAGCGGATTTTATGGCTCTTGTTCGATCAGAGCTACAAACTCGTTTGACAGGTGATTTAACTATATCGATACAAGTTTTAAAGATATCAACGGAAGAAATATTAGTTGTTTGATGTTAATATACATAGTTTTATAGTAAGTGTTTCTTAAGTCTATAACTGCTTTTGCAGTCGGCTAGTGTTTTTCAAAGCAAAAACTGTTATAGGAAGGTGTGAGCGATTGGCGCCAAGCCATCAGCGTCTAATTTTGAGTTATCAATCTCTTGTTATAGATGTGATCCTAACATTAAACGACTAAATCACTTGAATCTGTTATTGTTCTAGGGGCATTAAGCTGATCTTTTTAAATGTTTCATCCGCTCGTCTCTTATTTCTGCTTCTTTCTTTGATATGATGTGTTAAGTTCCTCTTCTTGACTTGTTCTTCAAACTACTGGTCGTGTAATTATTGTTTTGTTTGGTTTCATTCTCTTTCTTCTTCTTCTTTCTACTTGTATTGTTCAACTTTTGTTTCGAGGCAGATCAAAAGCCTGAGCCTATGACTCAGACAAACAAGAAAAGAGGCGTGAGAAAGAAATCCCCTGATATCAAAAACACATTTAATATTTCCTTTTTTACGAGTGTTTTTCCTCCAGTTTCTTTGTTTCTTTTTCACGATTATTATTTCGTTGTCTCCAGAATTATACTTTTTTTTATAATCATTGTATGCTAAGCAAACGTGTGCATTGTCTCTTGATTTCTCTAAAAGAAAAGCATTTATTGTTGAAACAATGTGTTTTTATGCAATGAAATCCAATGAAACTCCGCAACGGTAACACATTAATTAGTCACTTCTTTGGCTGAAAATGATATATTAAATATAATAAAATGAGAATGCACACATTAAGGCATCAATGCTCCCTAGAAGTTAAGAGTTCAATTTCTAAGTCGGGTAGAACAGAAATATAGACTGGTTCAATGGAGAGTTAAATCAGCTTTCAAAGAAAACATTATTCGTTATGAGTCCTAAAATTTCAAACGAGGGGAAAACCGGATTTAACTATAATAACAACGGCGTTAAATAAAAGACGCTAGGCGTGAGTGTGATGACACCGTTGTGAAAGGACGGGCACCGCCTGCAGATAGAATGATACCTTCGTTAAAGGAAGGCCACCGGACGTGAGTTTGTGATTTATAAACTATAATTGGAAAATGAAAGTTTCACTGAAGTATGTTTGTAATCTTCCAAATTTTCATCTGACATCAAGAAAATACGAACTATGTGGTTTAAACAGACGCCAGGGGGGTGGATATGGTTTAAATGAGGATCTGCTATTTTTCACAAAGAATTATGTGATCCGCGGTGAATAATCACCCAAATTTTCTAATACATCTATGGAGTCTAGCTGAACTGACAGCTCAGAGGTTCAGCAGTATATATAGAACCAAGAAATATCCTTTGATAGCATTCGTCTGATATTTGTGAAACAAATCTCGTTTAGCGTCTCTTTAAACCATATCCTACTGAACTCTTTTTTAAAGTAACGACTTCCTTTTTCGATATATGTAAACTATAATTATAAACTATAATTTTTCAAAGTGAAAATTTCTCAGAAATATGTAGGATTTTTCCAAATTTTCAATGGTAACCAAGAAAATACGAATTTCATGTAAAATAGTGACGATATATATATATATATATATATATATATATATATATATATATATATATATATATATATATATATAAATAAAAACAGACTACTTTAAGGTTCCATGTAATAAATTATTTCACCACAGCCCTTTTAAGGACTGCGGATCATCAGACTTTATTTCCAAAGGTTGAATCCTTTGGAAATAAAGTCTGATGATCCGCAGTCACTAAAAACTGTGGTGAAATAATTTATTACATGGAACCTTAAATGGTTTTTTTATTTAAATTATTTGCTCTGGATTTACTTTGAGCTCTCTGGATTTTATCCTCCTTAGGTTTACCCATACGGATTACATAGCATCAGTTGAAAATGGTTTCAGAAAGATATGGTGTAAACTGCATTATTTGAGATCATGTCTTTTCACCTCGATCTCCTGCGCTGGTGGTAAATACGCCACAAACAGTCAAAAACAACACCCAGGTCCCAATACAGATATGATAAAAAGCAAAGTTAAAAGATGAAGATACTTCAATTATTAATATTTTTTACAATATTTTCTTTACTCAAAGTAAGAAAAAGCATCACATTCGTAATGAGTTCGAATTCAGAGAAAGATGTAATTTCAATTTTCTGACAACCAGATGAATAATATATGACCCTACCATTTTTTATTTGCTTACTTTTGCTTATTAATTCAGATGTATTAATGTTTTATGCTTTTTTAATTACTTAGAAAATTGTCCTGATGGCCGGGTAGGTTTTATCATCTCTTAGTTGCGACTCCGTAGGACAACGTCGCAACTAGGGAAAATAAAACTTTGAGGTGCCGAGCCCTGGGGAACAGCTGCCTGAGGCTGCACTCTCTCAAGAGAGAGAGAGAGAGAGAGAGAGAGAGAGAGAGAGAGAGAGAGAGAGATCGGTTGCGGGGACTAGGGGAATTTCTACCCGTGGCCCGCATGTAGGCGCTCGGGTTCCCCACGTTAAACTCGACCTTGTCACATCGCGTCACAGTGGGGAGACCGGTTAACTATATACTTTGAAAAATTGGCTCTCGTACGATGACAGAAGTTAAGCAAAGTCGAGCCTGGTCAGTACCTATATGGGTGATGGCTTAGAAATACCAGGTGCTTGAAGGTGCGGTGGTGTAAAGGATAATGGCTCGGAATTGGAAATCCGTGAGCTGTTTTCCAATTCTCGTTGGGTTCGTTATAGTCACTTAGGCGCAAATACCCTTGGAAGAATTAGGAATTCACCTCTTTTGCTCACTCCCCCAGCTATGCGTTAATTAGAAGGATTTGTATCAGTAAATCCTTATGATCTCCAAAAATTCTTACAATCTAAATGTATTTTCTTTAAATAACCTGCAAAAGGTTGATAAGCCGTAAAAAACAAAATCAGTAAATCAGATATTTGTTATTCGGACATGTGCAGAGGATCAAAAGTCACAGCCTCACCATCTGTGATGTGGCTGTAGTTTGAGTAGCAAGTAGGTTTTTACGAGAAGCAGTTTCTCATTCCATGCCTGAATTCAGAGCTGAACCTTTCCTAGGATGGTCGCCAATCAAAGTTAGAGAAGCCAAACTGTCCTGCTATGATACTTCTTCTGATGTAAGCGACAGGAAAAGATGTGTATACTGCAATGGGGTAGTCATCTAAACGGCTCTCTAATGTGTATTCTGCAATGGGATAGTCATTTAAACATCTCTAAAATGTGTATACTGCAATGGGATAGTCATATAAACAGGTCAAAATGTGTATACTGCAATGGGAGAGTAATCTAAACAGGTCTAAAATATGTTATCCGCAAGGGGATAGTCATCTAAACAGCTCTAAAAATGGATATGCAATCTAAACATCAAAACAATCTGGGTGTAAACTATATAATAATGAGATAGTCATCAAAACAGCTCTAAAATGTGTATACTGCAATGGGATAGTCATCTAAACAGCTCTCTAATATGTATACTGCAATGTGATAGTCATCTAAAATGGGATAGTCTCTAAAAAATGTATACTGCAATGGGTTAGTCATCTAAACGGCTCTAAAATGTGTATACTGCAATGGGATAGTCATCTAAACAGCTCTAAAATGTGTATACTGCAATGGGATAGTCATCTAAACAGCTCTAAAATGTGTATACTGCAATGGGATAGTCATCTAAACAGCTCTAAAATGTGTATTCTGCAATGGGATGATCATCTAAGAGCTCTAAAATGTGTTCATTCTGCAATGGGATAGTCATCTAAAATGTGTGTATACTGCAATGGGATGATCATCTAAACAGGTCTAAAATCATCTATGTATTCTGCAATGGGATAGTCATCTAAACAGGTCTAAAATGTGTATACTGCAATGGGATAGTCATCTAAACAGCTCTAAAATATACTGCAATGGGATAGTCATCTAAACGGCTCTCTAAAATGTGTATTCTGCAATGGGATAGTCATCTAAACAGGTCTAAAATATGTTATTCTGCAATGTGATAGTCATCTAAACAGCTCTAAAATGTGTATACTGCAATGGGATAGTCATCTAAACAGCTCTAAAATGTGTATACTGCAATGGGATAGTCATCTAAACAGCTCTAAAATGTGTATAATGCTATGGGATAGTCATCTAAACAGCTCTAAAATGTGTATACTGCAATGGGATAGTCATCTAAACAGCTCTAA